GAAATTAAAGCAAAATAACAAATTTCTGTTAGTTGTTTAAATAACGTGTTTTCTATGATATATATATATATATATATATAATACATTTGTCAACATCTATGTAATATAATTGTTCTTTTACTATACACTAAAATATAAAAACATTTTTATATATCATAACCCATAAGAAAAGCCTCAGCATAGGCTAGATCATAATCAACTAGTTTTCCTTTAATTCTTCTTCCGATTGGTTCTAAATCCGCATAACATCGGTCAAATACCTTATCAACAGCCTGTGTTGCTTGTTCAAAAGTGACATTTCTAACAGCCAATACAGAAACAACAGCTTTATGTTTAACACAATCCTATGTACAAATAAAAAAATAATATTAGAAACAAAAATTGTTATAGATAAGAATATAGTATAACCACATAAGTGTGCATATGGTGGAGGTAGGATAGCTGTTCCCCTGAAGGCTAATTTTTTTTTATTAATTAAAAATATTAGGTAGTTTAGGTTAATTTAATAGAAATATATTTAGGTTACAACTAACTATTTAACTTTGATATATGTCATAAAGATCTTGTTCAGTAATTATATGTTGGCAATAAATATACATAAAAATATACAATGTGATTAATATGTAATAGGTTTGTCAGTTTATAAGTATTTATTTTATGCTAAAAAAAATTAAAATAGCCTCTGCTATCAGTTTAGTCTGCACGGCTAAATATAATCTTAACAGGAAACTGCATTTAGATTTTGTTATTATTAATTATATATCAATCATAATATTATAAACATTATTGGAAAATCTCAGAAGACTCTTTAAATGAAATTTATTTATTTATAGTCAAATAACCTATGAAGAACATTAGAAAATATTAATTAACTGGAGTTAAAAATATAAAGAAAACATACAATTTTATTAACTAGTGCATTGATTAATTTTATGTGAACAATTATGGGGAAAACTTCTTGGCTATACATGATTCAAATGTTTATACACTTAAAATAACTATAAAATGTATGCATTTAATTTTTATTAGTAGTTTTTTTTTAATATTATAGATATATTAATTTACAAGAAAAGCATTATAGTATGATACAATGATTTTTTAATTTGTTCAAATTGTAATGCGTTTTTGCAAAATGTTTGAAAATGTATTGAAATATACATTTAAATTCTTAAAATTCTAAAATATGCATTTAAAATACAAAACCATACATAAATAAAAATAGTATTTTTTGATTCAGTAAAACATGAACCAAATGTATATCCAGGTCAGCATTAAATTGGATAAACAGAAAAAAAAAATGTAATTTCATAAAAATCTGAACCCTAATTATATAAAATTTTTTTTTCTTTAAATCACAAAAATCAAAAAATTATTTTCAATTGCTTAAATTGAATTTCGGTTTTCTAACTTGTATTAAGTTATTTAAGAACAACCACATAGTTTTTATTATCAAGGTTATACTGTTTCATAATAGATAATAAATTAAATTTATTCAATTCTCACTTGGTGTTTTTTTTTAAAATTAAATGGCGACGAATGTCCTTCAAGCATAGAAGAAATAAGTCCACAATGAGTCAAATTTGCTGCTCTGATTTCTGTACAAGCCAAATGCTCAATATTCCGGAAATCTAATTTACGTGTACAATTATCAAACATATGAATAAGTTCATGTGAGAGCACTCCTTGGATAGTACCCTTAGATGTGGCTGTATTTTGACATATAACTATCTAATTCAAGCAAAACAAATTATAAAAAAAAAAAAACGTAGTTATTATATAAAAAATAAAATATTCTATACTTGATTCATAATTGGATCATAACCACCATGAACACTTTGGTCGCAATATTCACATGCAATATGACGAGATGGACTTATTTCACTGAAAAAAATAATACATATACATATGTTAACTGTATTAGTAGGATATCTTACAACTATATTAAATTATAGATAAAGATCAACTTCACAAGTATTTGTATAAAATTTAATATTTTTAATTAAAAAGAGTTTGAAATGTTGAAATACATTAAAATTAGCAACTCTTATTAACTTATAAAAGTTCCTTTAATATAAATCAAATAGACATCTAAACTACTTTCATAAAGAACAGATTTCAACTATGAATGCATTTACAAAAACAATTACGAATAAATAGCAAACAAATCATAATATTGATTTTGTAACAGTATGATTTTAATCTTATGAATAACAATAATAATAATCAATTTCAATTTCTTATTTTAATAGGTGCTAAAAATTATTAAAACTACATAAAATATGCATGTGGTGAGTGCAAAATAATAATGAATTGGCTTAAAGATTTGTGAACCTACCTATTAAAATATTTTTAATTGTTATTCGTTATTTCATAAAATATTTTAATGTAAGTTTTGAAAAAATAATGTTCAAAATTAAAATTATAATAATTGATTTGACAACATAAAATCACTAATAAAAATACATTCCTCACTTTACATAGAATTTAAAAGTAAGGTTAAAAGTTATATTTTTACAAACTAGAACTTACCAACCAGACTTTCTTAAAGCACCCAACATAATTCTAACCAAAGGACCTATTTAAAAAAAAAAAAAAAGTAAAAAGTATTAAACTACTTATATGATATTAATAGAATTAGATAAATAAAGGTTATACTTACTCTTATTCAAACAGTATGCTACTTTTCCTTCACATTTAATTCTCTCAATGTTTTCTTTTCCACGTCCTTTAAATAAAATATTTTTTAGTGATGGTTTAAATGACCCCCTTCTTTCGGGAAATAAATCAAATCCCCATCCGTCATATTCATCCGATTTCGATGGCTTTTGATCTTCTTTATGCACGTCATCGTCCATAGGATATGGATTTATCTAACATAATATTATATTTTTAATTTAGTTTTAAAACAAATAATCATTAACGTTTTAAAAAAACTTTTGTTGACAAACTTACATAATTAGACTAAAGTCGAATGTAATTAGAAATTCTAAATACAAAATTAGAAAGCCAGCGATTTTAAATAACTACAAAATGGATATAGATAATCTGAAAATTAAAATCATAACATCCAAAATGTTACGAAAAAGTCCATGAAACTAGATAATTTTCCCATTGCCGGTTAATATCAAGGTTCGTTGATAATCCTATCTATAAATCTTGGGTTACCACGTAAAGGAATATTACTCTATAGGTAACCATCACGATTACACTCTACACTTTGTAAAGATAATATAATGATTGTACACAGTGTTTTACACATGGACATTTATTATATTCTGTATTCTGTAATATTAAGTTAATAACAAATACCCTAGCAAAAAAAATGTAAACCATTTATAATTGTGTTTTAGTCGTTGTTTACCTTTTAATTATAACTGATACTATTGGTAATGAAGCGTATTAATATTATTTTGAATCAATAATAATTTACACTTAATATGAAGTAAATTTTGGTTATTACAAATGCATATACAGTAAAGTGTGTGTGTTGGTCAAACTGAAACAAAAGAAAGCCAACAAAAAAAAAAAAATAAAATGATAAATAAGCAGATTACATTTGTTTTAGACCTTTAGTGTTTTTAACGTTTTTCAGTTTGTCGCTAATAAATTTTAATAATTATTAATTATTATTAATAAATAATTTTTCCATAAGAATTTCTAATCTTATGATATTGTGTAATTGGTTAGTATACGTTATTTTTGTGTGCACAAATTAAATTTACTTTTTTAATCGTAAGATAGATATATTAAAACAATTTTCTATCACTACTAGACACATTACATTTATTTGATTTACTACAAAATGACTGCATCAAAAAATAAAAACTTTAAGTGGTCTTTGGATTTTACCAAAAACAAGCATGAAAGATCAACGGATATCGCAAACCCACCCGGATACACTCAATTATCCAGTCAAAACGGTACCGAACTTGCAAAAGAAGGCGATTCTAATAGATTGATTATTAAAAAATCATGGGATATTGCTCTAGGACCTTTAAAACAAGTTCCTATGAACTTATTTATTATGTATATGGCTGGTAACTCCATTTCCATTTTTCCAATAATGATGGTTGGCATGTTAATAGTACGACCAGTTACAGCTTTATTTTCATTGAACACTACATTTAAAACTATTGAAGGAACACAAGTGTGGGGCCAAAAGTTTATATTCTTCATTGGAAATATTATTAATATTATTTTAGCGTTGTATAAATGCCAATCTATGGGTTTATTACCAACTCATCCATCAGATTGGCTCGCTTTTATCGAACCACCCATTAGAATGGAATATTCTGGAGGTGGCTTTGTTTTAAGTTAATCGAATGATTAATTTTAAAAGAATGTTAAAGTTATGTTACAAACTGAAGCTTAAAAAGGAACTGCCTTAAAATAATATGGAAACTGATTTTATTTCAGTTTTTTTTTTTTATTATAATTAGATAAATAAAATGAGAATAATAATTATTTCATAATTAATATGTGATTAATTATTTTTTTATACATTATATAATGTAGTTTAATAATTTTTTTGTAATACTTGATATTATACAACTTATAGGTAATATTTCATAAATGTAATTTAAAATATATTTAGGTATAATAGTCTAATGAGACAAACTTTACATCTAAAAGCTTTAGAAAAGGATACCAAAGGATCTACATGTATGCATTTTTTGTTTCTACTTCAATTTTGTTTTTACTATAATATTTGCTAGTAATATTGTATAGTGTTTGTTTTATATTATTTAACACAAATATTTTATGAAATGAATAAAAGTTTAAATTTAGTAATCCAAGTTACTTTGTAGTTCATTATTACTAATTAGCATTTATAAAAATATTAAGTTTTATAAAAAAAATATTTACCATCGATACATTTATTTATAAATAAAAATATTTCTAGAGAATACCTTCTAATAATAGGGGCTGAGGACTTGTTATTGTATTTTTTTCAATAATGGCGATAGAATTTTTGAAGTGATATACATATGTGTTTTAGACATGTATAAAAAATAAATATATAAAAAAAAAAAATAGGTTAGTATAAATATTTTTTTTATTTTGGTTTTATAATTAAAATATGTAGGTCCATAACGTTTGTACCTGTGTGTCCAATTTTAAGTAAATCTTTTCCTCCATTAAATAAAGAATAAAATCCATAACTGTCGTTGTCTTTAATTGATTGTGATGGGTTTAAGCCCTGAGACTGGGCAATTTCTACTAATCCTGGATAACCAAATGCACCACAAGCATCAGTTGGACCATCAATGCCATCTGTACCACCACTAAAGAACATAATATTAAACTGTTTCAAACAATCATGATCCTGTTCTATGTTTGCAGATATTCTTAACGCCAATTCTTGATTTCTGCCTCCTAAACCACCACCTTGAACTTTAACAGTGGGTTCACCTCCACTCAATATGCATAGACCACGTTTCTTTGATGAAGCTTCAATAACTTGATTTATCAGAAAAACAACATCTATTTCCCTATCAATTTTATGAATATCTGATGTCAGTTGATTTTTTAATATCTCGTCAATATTCACACTATTCAAATACAGTTCACAGACAAATAAAATTAGTTTAGAATAAAATATTGATACAAATTTAATATTTCCTTGAAGAGATTTTGTCAATAGTACAGGTGTGTAGTCATTTTTTACGCACTCTACACCAGTAAGTAATGCAATTTTATTATTACCTATTATATAATTATGAACTCTTTTATTAACTTTAATACTGTTTAAGGAATTATTGTTATCTTTGAGTGCCTTTAAAACTGTAGATGGAATTTTATCTAGTAAACCGAATTGTTTTATTATCTTCATTGGTAAATCATTTGAATCATTATTTGGTGTAGTTGGTCCACTAGCAATCGAATTCAAAGGATCCCCGACAATATCTGATAGAATTAAAGATATAACAGTTGACTTTTCAACAAATTTAATTAATTTTCCACCTTTAACATTGGATAATGCTTTCCTGACAGTGTTTAACTGTTCAATTGATGCTCCGTGTGATGATAGTATTGTAGTCGTAAGTATTTTGTCATTAAGTGATACGGTCGGTGAACACAACAGAGCTGAACCTCCACCAGATATCAAAATAATTAAAATATCATCTTCATTTAACTCTGAAATTGTATTTGTTATAACTTTAGTGTTTTCTACGGCATAGCGATCAGGTATATTATTTTTAGCTGCTTCCATCACTAAAACTTTTGAATTGTTCAAGTCTTGTTGAACACCGAAAGGAACACTTACAATAGCCTTTTTTAAAGAGCCATCCAAGATTTGTTCAATTTCCAAAGCCATTTCTAAAACTGCTTTTCCAAAACCAACAACATAAATATTATTGGACACACAGAATTTGGTGTCTTTCACATATAATGTTTTCGAATCATATTTAAATGTATTTTTAATGACATTTCGAGGCATTACTGATTTTACGCACTCTCTGAAAATATTCACTATATATTTCTTCATTTCTTGAAGGTTTTCTGCTAAACATTCAGATTTCGAAAACATTTTCGAACACCTAAACGAATAATGATTGAGATTTAAAAATATATTTCCTTAAGTACAAAAATCATTTAAATTGACATACATTACATGCAACATAGAATCATTTTCACCATTATTGAATAAGTACCTACTATTGAATCATTTTTTCAATAGCAATTAACAATGTAATCAATAAACCCACTTGTATGATATCTCATCGAACTTCAAACTACAAATTAGGTACAATACAAAATATTCAATCATCTGAATTCTGAAGATTAATAAGTAACTACCAAACAATCTAATCTACTGGGTATAATTTTATTAATCTCTAATTACATTTTAATATAGATATTAGATACACAGTAGCGGTGTAACAGTATATAATATATACCTAATACAAATATCTATGTTATTTATTCGATAACGGTCTTATCAAATATGTTGGTCATATAAATTTGTAAATTCAATAATTTATATCATTCTACTATTTGTTTTAGGCTTTAATAAGTTGGATGCCAGACTGGTTTAAGGCATGGACGGCATAGGCTAAGAACAACGGTGTCATTGAAAAATAATATTGAATTTTTTAGCAGTAGAATCACTAAACGAATCAACAGTCTGGTAATATACCTACTTATTTCCTAACATTGACATAGCACTGATAATATGACTGATAAAGAAATTTCAAAATTAAAAATACTAAAATAATAGGTATTTACAATCACAAATTTCTTAAGACTACTGCAGGATTAGAGCAAGGAAAATATGTTTTTAATTTTATTCTAAATACTATTGTATTTTTCGTTTTTTTTTCTCGTAAAACACGTTTAGGTGGTAGCAATGCAAAATATTACCTTGCTTATGAGAAAAAATCATTAAAGCCCGGTCTTCACTTACCATATTTTTCATCCAAGACAGACGGACGTGGTTTCGGGTCCGTACGTCACTGATACGAATTTTGATGTAATCGTGTAATCGTTACAGTAAGCATTGTCGATGTCAGAGTCCACATTTTAGTCATAATAAATAGATTTTGAATCTAAATAAAATAGAATTTATTTTGTCATCATTTTAATATTGAAAATGGATCCAGACGTGGTGGATTCAGTTTTTTCAGTTTTTGAATATAGCTAATGAGTATAAATAACAAATTTTGTCAAGTAAGAAAGAAAAAAAAAACATATATTGGGTTTCGGGTAAACGAAATATGTTTGGTGCATCAAATATGTAATATGTAATATGTACTCTTGTACAATAAGAGTTGAAAACTGACTATCGATACAGTTTTAAGAACATTTTAAAAATGGACAACGGGCATTTTAATTATCTTTTAAGTAGAGTAGAAAAATATTTTTCCTTCACGAGGCACTTCGCGAAGTACAAAATTAGTACAAAATTAGAAATAAATTTGAGATTTTTAGCAACGGGGGAATCTTTTAGTTCACTGCAATATTTATTTCAAATTCCTAAATGTCCTAAATAAATAAAAAGAAATTTATTGTGCATTAGAAGAATATATTGAGATAAGTATATTGGTACCTATGATATATTTTTATTTTTTAAGTATGATTAATCAAATTAATTTATTGAGTTTTTAATAACTCAATAATTATTAAACAACAAAATAAAAACTACATTTTCAAAAAAAATAATTTCATTCTTTTACACATTTGTAATTTTTCAAGTATAAACCATATTACATCAATCACTATATTAATTATATATTGATTAAACACATTGATATATGTCTGTGGCACAACGGATCCGATAACCAGCACGAACATGGTCGTGTATATACAGTAAAATAATTAAATAATTTGAAACACGGACGTAGTGTCGGATATATGACAAGTGGAAACCCAGCTCAACACTGACCCTGGTTAGGTGATAAATAATAGTATTAAATTTAGGATTGCTTGATGAAAACTTTGATCACTAAAAATATATATATATTTTAAATCATTTAAGTGTATAATTTCAATAACAAAAGCATTCACTAAAATAAAAACAATAATTTAAATTTTAAACCATACATTTTTCCAAATAACTGTATTCCTTAGTTTAACAGAAAATATCAATATTTTTAATAAACATTGTTAATATAAAAGTTTTTAAAATCTTTTAGAGGTAAGAGTTCTCAAAAATGTCTAAATGAAGTTTTGGAAAATAAGGACTTAAAAATAAGCAGTTTTATTAATTATTAAAGTTTTGTTAGATGGCATGTATTACAAAATTAGTAGTATCTCCTTTGGTTTAAAATATGACTTTATTGATCAGTTCTCATTAAATGTTTGAACTATACATATATAATATAAACTTGTTTAAAAATTACAATAACATTGAAATGTATGGAAGGTACAAAAATAGGTCTGTTACTGTATCAACTCGCTATGTCACCTGTATGCTTTGAATTTATTTAAGAGTACCTATAACAAAATAAAACTTTAGTCAAATTTTTAAAATCTATTCACCATTTTGCAATGGAAACAATATAATTTGATAGAACTTATTTAAGTTACAATGGTGTTTTTTTTTTTAAATTTATTCCATTATACATAATTACAATGTTAAAAAAATAAATCAAATACAAGTGCATTGGTAGTGTGTTAATTAATGTAAAGAAAATACAACATATAGAACCTTGAAATTAGGTTTAAAAATATAAGTTATAAGTATATAATCATCGAGTATAAATAGTATCTATACTTATGGTATAACATTTATATTATTAAGATGGAATAATAATTTAAATGATTTAACACAATGTTATGAAACCATACTCATAGGTTGAAAATAATTAGCTACATACTTGTACATAAAAATAATAATAATAAAAACATAATTAGAGTAATATGTTAGTGAGAGTTAATAACTGCTTATCAGTTAGTAAGCAATATTGAATGATCTTAAAAATAAAATGTGTAAACATACTGGAATTCTCAGGTTTCTTCATGAACATAATTGATTGAAAAAAATAAATTAAAATCAAATTATAAATAGACAATCAAGAAAGTTTATGATCATATAGTTTTAACAATAATTATAACTATTTTAATTTTATTACATTTAACTTACCTAAGAAACTAATGCATTAAGCATCAGTTACAAATAAAAATATATTTTTCAATTATTGAAGGAGGATTTACAATTGATAATTGAAAAATAATTTGCAGATTTAAAAAAATAACATTACTAAAAACTTCTATTTACACATTTAATAGTTCTGTAAACAATTTCAAATAAATAAAAATAAAAATACATATTTGTTTTATAATTTAGTTATATTGGAAATCCTCCAACCTTAATATTAACATAAAAATAAAAGAAGGTATAATAATAATAATCAAAATAAATGATAGATTATAACAGGTAAGTAATATGTACAATTATAATTAATCATAATACTTTAACACAAGATTAACATTTCGCATGTATATAAATTTATACAATTTTTTTTTTATTAGTATAAATATATTTATAACAGCAACAAAAAGCTGGTTAGTAGAAATTCAAGTAATATAATCATAATGTAGATTCGTAAATTTAAAACTTAATTTATTTATGCTTTTTTGTACTTCATTTCCTATCCAATTTTCCTATGAGTTCATCACAAAGGTTAGTTAGTTCGGCATTCTCAACGTCTTTCCTTTCCAATGATTCTTGCAAAGATCTGACTTTTACTTCTAATCGTTTGTTCATTATTCTCATTTTTGAAGTTTCTGCTTCAAACGATCTTTCTTTGTCATTAATTTCTTCAGTGGCTCTAAAAGTTTATAATATAACAACATTTATTAATAGTCCAAAACTATTTCAATAACTTATATATTTAATTGTATTACTTGTTCATTTGTTCAGTGGCATGCATTTTCAACCTCATGTATTTATCTTCATATTTTTTGAGAGATTCTTCATATTCTTTGAGACAATTTTTATACTTGACTTCATTTTCTTTCATTGCTTCTATAACTTGTTTTGAAGAATTATATTTCCTAAGAAAAATAAAAAAATAAAATTTAAGTTTAACTCAGATAATTTTATTTTATAACAACTTATATTATTTACAAAATGAATAAACTGTATATTGTATAGGTACCACAAAAAAGTATACATACTAATTTATAAACACTAGATGCACAGCAAATATTTTTAATATGAGAGGGCAAAAATACATTGAAACCTCTAAATACCGGACACTTGGTTGCTGTTATTTTGTCTGTTATCCAGAGGTGTTTGTTATTTAGAGAGAGAAATTGTACTTTTATTTAATTAATTATTTAAATAAATGTTTTTTTTTTCATTAATTCAATATATTTTAAAAACTAACATTTATGAAAAAAATCAGTTACTTTAGCTTATCTATTAACTAGAGGCATAGTCAAGTCATTTTCTAATTTTAATATTTTTTACTGGCCATAGTACTACAATAAACATTTGTATACTGGCATCAGAAACGCAACTAAATTTGAATAGGATTAGGACAATGCATAAGTCACAACATTTCTTGAATTCATTACATTCATAATATTTTAATGATTGAACGGATAATATAAGATATAGTATGAAATGTTTAATAGTAATGAAAAAAAAACTTAATAGTACAGATTTTGAAAAATAGAATTTATCTATATTCAGGTACCTGTTGAATAGGTATTCAACAATTATTGTCAATTTATGAAATTATCAATATCAAAAATTGTCAGTTATTTAGAGTGTTCCATATTTAGAAGTTTTTCTATACTTAAATAGTAAAAATATCCACATTCCCTAAAAAACGTCTTCTATTTGGAAGTGACTGTTAGAGGAGGTTTCATTGTACAACTATTCTTGAATGCAATATACGTAGAAGAGAAAGAATTCATCTTTCCTATCTATTATATTTTTTTTTTTTTTACTTTTTGTCAGTGCTCAATATTGAAAATGTATTGAATCGTAACACGTGGTTTTTAAAAATATATAATATGTTTATATTATTTGAGAACAGAAATTATAAACTTTTTTTCATCATGAAATGAGCCGTTAATTTTGAGCCTTGACTTCAGCACATCCTTAAGTAGGATTATCAATTTTAACTGGTTTTTTGAAGCCATAATATCAGTTGTTAAAAAAATTTTTAATAATATTTATTTGAAATTTGAATATCAAATATTTTTATTTATGAGAAGATTAATGAATAATATAAATCCAATTCAATTTAAATATTTGTTTTGTTATTCATAGTTTTATCTATATTTTATTGAGGTGAGCACGATATATTTGCCCACTATGCTATACATAGGCAAAGAAATTGCCTTCATGTACAACCACCAATTTAACACACCTAGATAATATAAAATTATTGTAGTCAGCAATTTTTTTATCAATTTAAATTTAGCACCCCAATTAAATTAATTTTTTTTTTGGTGGAGCTAACAAGCTTTTTGTATCAAACATGAATCCTTTAACATTTATGTTTTCGGTGGTATAAATATATGTAACTCCTTGTTGTAATGATACATTCTATTTAAATATTAAAATTTAATATTACCTACGTCTTATATTATACTTATAAACGAAATAGTACACCATGGTTATCTATAGATATTAGATACTTAGTAGAAATTGGAAAACACACTATTACAAAGTAAATAGGTGAGCTTATACTATGGTTATAGTAGTTCTTATTTAAACATATGAATCATTTATAAATAAGTCTTACTCGTGAACATCGTTGAATGCCATTTCAGAATTTTGTAAGTGACGTTCCATTTTTGCTCTTTCCTCTTCAATATATGCAATTCGTGCTTCATATTCTTTATGTACGTCTTCTTTTTTAGAGACCATATCAGAAATGGTTTTTTCATATTCACCAATCACAGTACTATATAAGTTTAATAAATTTAGTTAAAGTAGTCATTTAAAAATTTCATAAGGATTAAAATAATTTCACACAATTATAAGGACCTTAGTTGATCTTTGCTCTTGGTAACTGATATCAATGAGTTAGTCAAGTTTTTAACCTTTTCTTTTTCAGCCATTTGATCATTTCTTAAATTTTTAATTTCACATTCTAACTTTTCTATTTTTTCCTATATAAAAAATAAAAGTAATAATCAATATAGTAGTCATTTGCGTACAAAGTACTGAAGATGCTTTTCTTTAAAAAAATCTCATACTAGGTATAATTTTTCTCTGTCATTAGTTTTTGAAGTGTTAATGATTTTTTCATCTTTGTTAAAACTTTGATTAATTTTATTGTCTGATATCTGTAAATAAAATATTAGAACAATTAATTATAACTATATTGAAAAATAAAAAATAAATAATAATTTGAGATAATATTTACATACATTCAGAGATTTGTTGGATCCACTGGATTGTGGAGAACTAATTGTTTTCTCCATAGCTAGTGAATTGTCTAATGCTTCTTTCCTATGACAAGAAAAACAATATCCCATTTATTATCAATCAATAATATTAACCATTTATATCAAACTACTATTTTCTTTTTAGATTTAAAATTTGAAATTCATAATTTAATTTATTGATGTAGAATAGTAATAAATTTAGGTCAAACGTTCGTAGTATATACTTTTGTGCTAATATGTATGTATTGTATTAATAAGTATAATGAATTAGAAGAAGAAATTATGATAGATGAGGAGTTGTGGAGGGTGATCAAAAGACAAGCTGACCCCACTTGTGTAGGATAAAAGCGAAGTGAAAGAAGATAAGTAAAAACCTAAAAATAAAAAACAATTAATATGAACTGTACTGATAAAATTGGTACCAAAAAGATAAGTTAATTAATACCTACTATATTTTATTCGTGCATAGTGCATACAGTATAATTTACATAATCAAATTTACTAAAAAAATATGTACATACTAAAACACAAATAATACAATAGTTTTGTTTTTTTCTAATTACTATTATATTTAAATATGTTTACTCACCGAGAATTAGACTCCTGGTTAGCTTTATTTACAATTGGATCAAATGCTACATACAAAGATTTCCTTGCAATAGTTAATCTTCGAAATTCCTCATCATTTAATGATCTTACTGATTCAAGTGCTTCCAAATTTTCAAAATTGTAATCAGCAGCTGAAGAGAAACCTGTTGTCAAATATTATTAAATATAATTAGTTTGAAAAAATATAATAATGTAATAATAAACGCTACATATACCTATTTATATAGAAAGTTGTATTTCTATATAAACTAATTTAATTTTTAATTTATACAATACAAGTATAAGGTAGACCTAAATACTTACAAATTAAAATCAATAATAATCAAAATACTATTAAAACAAAAAAAAAGTTTAAATAATATTACAATTATATCATAATATTGTAATATAAATGTAGTTTTATAAACAAAATATAAATACAATTGCCTTTATTTTATAATCAGTTTATTAGATTTCAAAACAAATTATTCTACTTCTCAGTATCTCTTTGTTTTTTTTTTTTTTTTTATCAAGATTCAAAATTCAATAATTTTTATCATATTATGATGCTTAAATGGCTCTACAATATTTAATCACCAATTGTATATTTGTACCTCATCAACAGGTTGTTGGTGTTATTGTAAATATTCTTAATAAATCCAATATGTTAACACTATCTTATTTATTTGTTGACAGCTGTAATTGTCAGCTTATAATTTATTTTCAGCAGAAAGCTCTAAAAAGAGCTGATTGGAATTAATTAAATGAATCCCTTTTTTATCATAATTCAATGTTGTTACAATAACAATATAACAAATATAGAATCTAAATTGATAAGATAAAAAAATGTAATATGATTTTCAATTAATCTGAAATATAAATATATTAGGATAAATAAAAAACTTAAATAATTTATTTTTAATATTTTACAACTTATAGACAAATTTTAGATTCTGAGTGGAGTGATTAATGTATTGATTTTATAATATTTTTTTATCTGTGAACATTTCAACCATTAATTTTGCTCTAATTTTCAAATGTAGCACTTTTACTGAAAGAAAATCTGACTGGGGCGGTACTTTGAGGAGATTAGGTTATTTTTTGATTTTCCTGGGGATTTTCATAATAAATGGGAAAAGCGGAGAAAAGGAAATCAACAGAAAAAATGAGAAAATTTACCTTTAAAGCTAATACAAATATATTTTTACTATAAAATAGTAATAATTGTTTTTTCCTATTTACCACATGCTCTTAAAGTTATCAACATAAAAATTATTTTTATTTCAATTATCATACTGACAACTTACTTAATTAAAAATCAAGAAAGTAATAAAGTACAATACTATGTATTAATATTTAATTTGAATAAATCTATTTACCTTCAGCTATCACAGGTCCTGCTTCACTGGAGTTCTTACTTTCACTTTCATAAATGTTTGACTGAAAACAAAAATTAAAATAAATAACATATGAAAAATCTCATCTTGGTGTGAGTATTAGTGATATATTCAAATAAATATTAATACGCATATTTTTATTCTATTTGTTATATAAAAAAAATCAGTTTCATACAGATTAATATTAAAACCATTTATTTCCTAAACTTGTATTTAATTTGATGCAACTTTATTAGGTATAATATAATAATTAATTAAACCGTACCTAAGTTTTACTAAATTAAATATTAACTAGTAATAATATAATAAATATTAATGAAAATTGTACTCATGAAATATGTATTGATTTTAGTTTATAATATGTGGGTATATTTTTGTTTTATTTGTTTTTCAAATTAATGCTCTGAAAAATGACAAAAACCGAGATGTCTTATTGCTTTTAGGTTTTACTAAAAATTAATTTTCAAATGCAAACAGTTAACATTCAAAGGTCATAGCAACATAACCTAAACTACAATAAAGGAATTTAAATATTTATTGCAATTTTAGTCATTAGTGTTGAAAAATTATTATGTCAATCTATAATATAATCTAATAAAATGGAATTAATTCTATAGAATTCTGTTTAAAATATAAATATTGTGTTTTCTAATAAAAAACAGATTATAAAAAAATAAGTGTACCTATATCTAATTAATGTAGAAATTTCTACAAGTACTTTTTTTTTCAAACATTTAGTAAAAACTAATAACAGAAGAACTTATTACCATACCTGAAATTGTGTTTCTGATCCTATACTATCCATCAGTGAAATATTTTCTCTTGTTAAATTATTGAATTCTGAATTCGAATGATAAGATTTATTCTGTAATGTTTCTTCTGATGATGATTTATGTGAAAGAGAATGTACAGTTAGGTTTTGTGTCGAATCTTCAAAATCGGAACTAACCAAATCTAAATTTACTGATGATAAATTTTCATGTACGGACTCAATATTATGTCCAGATTCATTTACATCATCATTGCAAATAGTAGATGAAAATTCCAAACTATCTAACTGTTGATTTTCAACAGAATCTACTATAAATGACCTATAAATAGAACTGTCATTCGAAGTAACAGGTCTACCACTATCTGAATCAGCTGAATCTGGACGTTCTTTGAAATCTAAATCCTCTTCAATTATAAAATTATCAGGTTTTATTCTTGTAGTTTGAGGAGTAGCTAAAGCCAACTGTTCTAATTTATTTGCAAGCTGTGATACATTAAAATTGCCTAAAGACACATCACCTAAATATTCCTCTTGACTACTGTAAATATTATCTGAAACATCTGAAAAATATTAATTAATTTAGAATATCATTGTTTTCCAAAATAAAATTTAAAAAATAGATTTTTAACCTTTTCTTATAACTGTCTTATCTTGAAATGGATTGTTTGATGAATCAGTTCCATTTGGAAGATTAGGCTAAAATAAATAAAATAAAATTACTATTTTTAAAATATAAAAATCACCAATATTAAAAAGCGCAATTGTAAAATAAAAAGTATTTTTTTTGTGATGGTTGAAATTTAAAAATAATAATAGTAATAAAAAACACAATTTATTAAGTTGAAGTCATACCATATTTGTTTTTTAGTTATTTGTATTGTTTATTATGTAGGTCTCTATATACCTAACAATAATACTGAAGAAATTTTAAAACTTAATTAACACTTATTTTCATGGCAACTAATTTTATAAAAATAATGAATTAAAATAACACAAATTTGTTCTTTATGGGAGATCAAGGGTAAAAGTGTATACGCCTACATGGACAAGTAGGTACAATATAATTATATATTACTTTTGCCACATCATAACTGTGTGCCCACTCTACTACTCTAGCTGAACATTACATTCACGCACAAAGTAAGTTTTTCTAATAAATGTAAGACATAAACTACAATTGTAGAAATGAAAGTTCCATCAGCGAATCATTAAGTCTGACCCGACACCAAATCACATCATATTATTATTATTATAATAAGTGCTACATATGTATATTTCTTATAAGCTTTGCAATATTACAGCTGTAATACAATTTTTCCTTTACCTTACCTTATAACAGTGGACTTGACATAATCCTAGGCCTATTTGGCATTGCAGCATTTAACAAAAACAACATATAATAGCAATAACATGGTAATGTAAAAGCGAAAAGAATGAACAACAATTTACCTGATTCTCCTGATCGATCATTGGCATACCTTATTGTCGGGATTGGTGTAAATGTATGCGTAAATTTACTTTAACGCTGCCACAAAAAAAGTTCAATGTTATTAAGTCACGGAAAGATATCACACAAAAATTGGGAGCAACACAATTGTATAATTATATAAATTGTAGTGCAGTGCAATTTTGATAATACAAGGTGCAAACTGTGGCGAACAAGACAGCAAGAGACCATGAAAGTTAACAAAACATCAACGTATCAGAAGAACCGTTAGGTAGTACCTCGGTTCATACCGTACGCACAATATGGTTACCAAGAATAAAGATTGTCATTATCACTTTACCAGAGACCGAACAAAAACATATGATGCGTTACCTAACCACACTGTGATAGATAATAATATATTATACATTATCACAGATTAGCTTGGAGAAGGAAAAAAGTATAATATTGCTTAATAATTGTAATTATTTTTTGTATAATTGTTCGATATGAATATAATATTATTATGCATAATATGTTACGGGTGAACGCCGAAATTGTGCACATTTCAGAACTCCCCGGGCAAACCGCGTTACGCGAAATGTCCACGATACTTGGGCAAAACGTTATATTTCTGCTTTTTTCAGGACAAATTTATATAGTAGTGGCTAACATTATTTCGGCCAAACTGTAACGTCCGTAAATTTTAATTTTCTACACTTCATAGATTTGCTCGATTTCGGCTTTTGATCGGCTGTGAAGGGGAAATATCCCTCATAGCCTGTTTTTCTTAAATATTTATAATAATATACACGGTGATTTGTTGAGTATATTCACCCCGTTCTTGTAACAAAATTACGTATGTATAAATTAAAATTTAGATTTTCGGATCTTTTGAGTGTATTAAAAAATACGATACATTTGAATAGGTACCTATATATATTTTCCACAACATTTAAGTATCGTATGGTGATAACAACTTTAGTTTTCAAATGTGAACCTACATGTTTAGATGAAAATTGTCCATCATTCATCATTTATAATGATTTTTCTGAAAACGTTGACGTATTGTTTAACGCCGCAGTAGTACTTATCGATTATCAATGTCAGACATCAATATTCATTGTAATTTGTAGTGGAATATCCGAATACCCAATACCTATTATACCTTGTTATTATTATTATTAGTAGGAAAATCGATAAAAACTATAGAAATTGCGGGACCTTCCTTTGTGCATATATTAAAATACCACAATGCCTTAGGTGCACTATAATATATGACGTATGGATGAGACTTATTTAGACTAATCGTTGAATGTATGAGAATGAGAAGTACATCGAGTAGGGACCTAATAGACAAAAACAAATTATTATATCTTTTATGTAGCGGACTGCTCAATTCTGACTTTACCATCGTTCTTAAATCGACAATAGGTAAACATATGATCAAAACCAAAAAAAAATGTTTGTGGACCAGAAGGGAAATTTGTCCCACATAAATTTTTACTCAGACAATTTTCGTCAAAATTTGATATTAAAATTTCTTTATAAAAAAAATACTACATAAAGCTCAACATTTTTTTTCGACCTTTGTAAAGTATCATATTTAACTATTTAAAGAGTCTCATGTTAAATTTACTAGCATTTCTGTTTAGTCTAACAATTTTATCTATAGAGTACCTAGCGAATAAAAATTACGTACTTACTTAACTCGCAAAATGAAAATGTCCATAGTTAGCTTAAAAATGGATCAAATATATTAAAAATTTTACCTCGTCTAGAAAAAGCAAATATAAGTTTTCTGTCAAAATGTCAATTTTTTATGAATATAGTAAAAAAAAAAACAAAATTTAAAACGATAAAAGAATTATTTTAGTACATTTTCCCGTAATTTGTACATTTTTTTTTCGGATTTGCTCAATTGTTATAAAAAACTACAAAGAAAATCAAAACACAATTGTTTTTGTTCATCTCTTGTTCATCAACTAGATTAAAATTTCAACAGAAAAGATCTCTTGGTGTTTTTTTTATTGGAGTAATATGTATGGTAAAAACACCGTGTTAACATAATAAAAACAATGAAAACGGTAATTCTGCTATACTAATTTTCGGTTTTACCTGTAATTTTCATTCGGCTTTTCCCAATTATTTCGAAAACCCCTCGGAAAATCAAAAAATGACCTCCTTTAATGCACCAACTAAAGAAAATCGCCTTTCAGAAAAAATGATGTAGTCAATATTCAGAGTAAGTTGTCTGGTAGAAAAATTGTTCACAGACAAAAAAAAAAAAGTGTTGCTATTTCAACAATATATATGTCATATTATGGCAAATAATTGCTTAATATGCATTATATATTTTCTTTAATAATATTTATGTAATATTGTAGGTATCTGTTTTATGTGAAATAAGTTTCTTCCCGGGTTTTCCCATGTTTTTCACATTTATTAACTACCGGGAAAATCAAAAATGACCTCCCTAAAGTACCACATCCCGGTAGGATTTCCTTTCAGAAAAAGTCTCATCGTTATAAATCTGAACAAAATTACTTGTAGAAAACTTGTTCACAGGAAAAATTAAACAAACATCATTGTAAAACCAATACATTCCTCGCTCCGCCATCAATTAAAAATGAATTAATTAATACAATTACGTACAAAAAATATGTATAAAATGAATCGAATGTATATTATATTCAATAATATTATTTAATTCAAATTGTGTTTGCCTAACCATTATAGGTACATTACTATACAATTATTGTATTATAATAATTAGTAGGTAGGTATTAATGATTATTAATCTACCTATAGGTATATCAGCGGCACAACTACCGGTTCAAATAATCAAAAAATCGTTAAACACATAGTAACACAATTATTACCGAATACCTTTAGTGAAAAAGATTTATTGTGGCCCAATACTCGGGCGTCCGTTGTTAAATAATATGGGTGCATAGTACAACAATACTAATAATAATTGTCTTCTCTCCGGCCGCTTAAAAACCGTTTCAGTAACGTTTTTTTTTTTTCGTCAGTATCAACGATCCTTAAAACTATTTTTTGACCTTCACCTGTATAAATTCTATACAATATGTATATCAGTGGTTCTCAACTTCACGATAAAAAGGTGACCGGTCCGTACTGTAGTCTTGGAAAAAATTCCACCTATTGGCTATTTTCAGCGTTTAGGGTTTTGAACCAAAACTCAAAATGGTTAAGAACCACTGGTATATAAATAAAAAAACCGCGTAATTAATTTATAGGTAGGTAAGTGAGTATATAGGTGTAGATATTATACTGGCTATACCAGTGCTACGCAGTGTTCGAATTGGGATATGGACGTAGTAATCTGGACTAATTTTTCAGAAATTTTTGCGTACCTAATTGTTCATGTTTAAAAAAAGTATTTGAGCCCCGTGAAAATGATCATATCTGAGTGTTTATAAAATCGTCGACAATCAGGTTTGCATTTTTCCTCCGTCTGGCTGTTTTACAGGTACGATTGGTACAATTAGCATACACAAATATAAAAACAATATTATTATTTTTATTTATAATTACCAAATTACCTGTCTATAGTTTATATAAAACACACATATAGGTATGTAAGATATGGTAAAAGACGTTTTTTTTCGCTTTGCTTTGCAGAAGTAAAAATAAAGCTTTTTTCTTTTTCGAATCATATTAACTTTAAATAACATAATATAGGCTAATAATAATATTAAAAACAAAATTAAAATAAAAACAAACAAACAAACAGAAAAAAAAATGCAATATTACACTAGTATCGACATTTAGACAATGAAAAAAAAAAAAAAAAAAAAACGAACAAATAAAAATGTTTTTTCTCCTCTCAAAACATAATCAGCGTGTTTAATCAATTATTAATTTAATACCCTAGCTAAATAATATATGTATTTTAAAATCATTTACTTGAATCGTATCAAAATGTTACTAGTATTATATATTATGTATATAGTTTAGGTATAAAGTGAATTTCTATATAGAATTTTGTACAAAATACTGACTGAACAATGTTTATTTACAAAATAAAATATTGTAGTAATAATATTAAAAAACATTGATTTGTATGTACAAAATATATAAATAATTTCCTATAGCATATTGTTTTGTAAGTCATGTAGGCTATGCATTTTATTAATGGAAAAAAATGACGACACTGTAAAAAAAAATAATAATAATAATTATAATAATAAATAAATCTTAAACAATAAAAATACAAAGTACGTTGAATGTACCGTATAAAATATTATTATTACGCGTTTAAACATATTTATAAAGCAAATTAATGCGAAAATATTTTCAAAGAAATTTACCGTTTAACTAGAAAGAAAAAGAAAAGGAAACAAATTGAGCTCGTTTGATGTTCAAAGTTATCACAATTATTGTTATTATACGTGTACGTTAGAAAACAGTTGTTAAAAAAAAAAAAAAAAAAAAAAAAAACAGTAATAATAAACGTATAAAATTGTCTTTTATGAGTCATGAATTACATCTATAAGAAAAAAAAACAGATATTGTATTATTTACATTATCACCGTGATGCGGTTTTGCTTCAAAATGTTTTACAGTCATTTTGGATGTTTTAACAAGGAAAAAAAGAATGAAATTATAGGTCATTTTTACGTTTAAAGTAAAAACAAAATATATATATGGCTATAAATATAAATAGCAAAAACGAATATAATTAGAAAAAAAAAACAGCCGATTATAGGTTACCGGCTAAAGACCATGTTACCAGTGTTTAACATAAAAATTGTTTTTCGGTTTGTATAATGGTCATTTATGTTATTGTATTAAAATGAAGAATCCATCGATATAGATTTCGAATTACAGAAAAATAAAAAAAAGCCACAACTTTCTACACTATAGGGGGAAACAAATTGAAAAAAAATCCAAAAAAAAAAAATGACTTACGTTTTGAAAAACCGCATGACGTATGACAGTATAATAATAATAATAATAATATAATTATATATAGAATTCACTTTATGTAAAAACAAATAAAATATACACTAGTATATAATTCATATAAAATTGAAAAATCGAATAATTTAATATAGTATTAATACAAGTCTTTTGATTCATTAATTTTATATGTTTTTCCCCCTTTAACTTTTATTGCTTCGATCAATTATATATATTTTTTTTTTTTTGTATATTATTTATTCATTATTTTTATTATTATAGCCTACATCACTATCAAACATCTTTGTTAAAAACAAGATACAGATTCTGTTCTGTTACAATATATTTTTATATATAACATTATGATTTAAAAAAAAAAAAAAAACAAGCGCAAAGGCACCGATTTTCGGATAAAACAGTCAGTGTTCACAATATTATTAATATTATAATATAGTATTATAAATAATTTTCTTATATCCTAAAAATAATAAAACATTTTACAAAATCTAGTTTTCAAGTACAACGTTAGTAATGTTGGAACACAATTTAACGATCAAGAATAATGTTACAATTTAACAAAAAAAAAAAAAAAGGTTAAAGATACAGATTCTGTTCTGTTACAATATATTTTTATATATAACATTATGATTTAAAAAAAAAAAAACACATAATTGGACAAAATGTACAATATTATTTTCTTAACAGTTAAACTAAAGGAACATGTTTGCAATATATATGATGTGTACCTATTTGCAACATTATTTTATTCGTCAACAATAGCCTATTAAATTATTTCATGTTTTCCACTCTATATCATTACACTATACATTACCTATATAATATTATTATTTATTATAATAATCATCTCGTTTTATCTTTTTCTTTATGTAGGAGTCCTCTTCGTATAATGTACATTTTAATAAATTGGTAACTTTGACGTTTGACTACCTACGCTACTTTAAAATCTAATTAATTTTCGTGTTTAGTACCTAAATACGGTTTATATTATATTACGACTATTGAGAATTGAGGTTTTTTGTCCGGTGGAGGTGAACATTGATTATTATTACCTATGCATATTGCGTATTGTTATGTTAAAATAGGTAACCTACAAATTGCTTGACCGAAATTATTACTATGATGTTTGAAAAAAAAAAACCCCATAAGAGTCGAAAGTTTAAAACTGGTGACGAAGTGAGAAACACAAAGACGAAAATATTGAATTTTTTCTATTACCTTATTATTATTGGTTATTACTTACGTAATAATATTCTAAATTGCTATTTTTATTAATTTATTAATACTATTATTATAATATGTATTTTCCATTTGCGAAAAATGTATAAAAATATAGTTTTCATGTATTTTTTTTCTTATTATTTTTTTTTCTTATGAAAATATAAAAGTAGTATAATGCAAAAATTGTTAATATATTTATTTATATACTGGCAGTGTGTTGATTAAAAAAAAATTAAGTATTTACTTAGTAAGAAAAAAAAATATATATATATGTATATATATATATATATATATATATATAAAATAATAATATATGAAAGTAATGGTTTACATCGTTATGGGACGATTGAAAAAATGTACTTTTATTTTTTATTTTATCAAACCGTAATTTGTATTATTTTACGCTGCATTAATTATAATGTTATCAAGAATCAATCAAACAATGTCATCGGATGTACCGAAATAATTTAGTCGTCTCGATTATCACCTAATTATTACCTAATAGCGTTTCTGTACGTGTATGCATGTGTGTGTTTGTGTGTACGTGTGTCGGAAATCTCGTCTAGGTCCGCGAAACAGGAGTATATATATATATATATATAAACAATATTATATAAAAGAACAACACAAAAACGAAACAAATCTGCTAGAAAGAATGACGGATGATACAGATGATTATTTGTTCCGGGTAAACGTATGTGCTCGGGGAAAAGACGGGGAAAAAAAAACGAAAAAAAAACGTGATTTAGGTACCGTACGCGCGTTTGTACACTCGGGAAAACAAAAAAAAAAAAAACAATACTCAAACATTTTAATAATAATTATATAACAAAAGATAGGTAACCCCGCGTAACGTGTGAAAGACTCCTCCCGATCGTGGCGTCGCTGTGACATTTATTGTCTGTCGCGGACGCTAAAAAATATTATTATAATATATTTTATTGCCTACCTACCTATCTACATATTGTGTTACAATATATCTATTATATAACAATATATTAATACACATTAACAATATCATTCGTCACCGTATCAGACACATTAATCTAATACAATAACAATAATACATATACAATCGAATTATTTTATATACCTCCCAATTGTATAGGGGTAAGGGGGTGGTGGGGGGAGGGAGCGAAAGAGATTGACACGTGTGACATAACGAAACGTACAATAATAATAATAATAATAATAATAATAATAATAATAATAATAATAATAATAATAATAATAATAA